ATAGGTGATCGTGAGCGGGAAATTAAATTGTTTTCTGACGATACTGTTATTTGCAAGGGCTCGGGGCTAAGACGTGCGAAGCTCAAAACAATTGGCTCCTCAACGCCATAGTTTACCTGCACGTTGTAGCTGCATAGAGGCTTGGCGAGGTTGCATTCCTGAGATCTATCGTCAGGCGGACAAACGCAAACTGTTTGACCCACATAGGGCACACAGAGCTGTGGGGCCTTGCATCTATTTTTCGACGTTACGCACAGATCATTAACTTTTTCACAATATTTGCCGTGAAAGGCCTCGGCATAGCACGTACAATTTGGTTTTCTGTTCACTAGTCTACATTCACCGGCGAAGTTGCAGTACTCCGGGGAGCAACGATTCGTTGAGTTTGAAATCGAATGAATGTTGCATATGAAAAGACTCAAAAGCACGAATTTAAGATACATATTTAATAATAATTGTATATACTTTTTAGTACTAAATATCTATGCCTGCTTTAAAACCAGTTGAAAATATGAGCGCTTTTTGTTTGAAACTATGTAACAGGCGACGATATACATATATGTATGTATGTTTATTCTAAATTACGATCAACAACCACATCGATCCATCTCTATGTTGCAACTCTAACATACACCATTGCAGCAGTATTAAGGTATATTAGTTAAATAACATAGATAACCTGTGGTCATTTTGAAGATGAAAACTTGGGGCTCTATTTGTTCCATTAAATTGAATGAGAACAATGTGTAAGTCTAATGTGGGATTTCTTATAGAGTAGAGTAATAATTATGATGGATTCTTATAAGGCTGGATACCACCTCATCACAGTATCATGGCACATCAACTAGTCACTCGACAGTCTTGGTGGTACAAATATTATTAGTGTCTTCTATATTTAATTTGAAAGAGACTTATCATCGGAAAGCGGTCAAGCTTTCAAGCTCCCTTCTATTAAATATATGATTTTATCTTATTTTTGAGAATGAATATTTTGCAACTCCATTAAACTAGTGGTGCCCGATGCAAATTGAAATAATTCTATCCATTCTCGATTGCTAGCGGCTGGTGGCTGCTGCTTGGGTGCTAGATAAGTGCAGACAATCGTTGCAGCTGGTAGCAAAAATCAGTTTATTGCATTACGTCTACGGCATGGCCAAAGGCTGCTCAGCTTTTGGCATTTTTTGGTAATCATATTACCTCTGCTGCCTTGCAGCATCCCGCAGTATGGAGTGATTGAGAGAATGAGTGAGAGAGCGACAAAGAGAGAGAGAGATAGAGAGAGAGCGAGTATAAGTATATTGATGTTAGTTGTTTGTGTGGGCGTGGTACAACAAATTGCACTTGCAAAATATTATATGTATGTACTTGCAGTGTATGGGCCAAATGGAAGCTGTCGGCTGGCAGACTTGACAACTGCTCGTCAACTGTGTTCTGGTTGAAAGCGTCGGCTATATGGAAAGTGCACAACATAGCATACACACACACACAGATACACACACACAAAGTAAATCAAATTTCAGGCATACTTTCAGGTTGAGTTTTTGGGTGCATTGATAAAATTGCATTTGATAATGGGCAGCAGCCAGAGAAACCTGACAAACCTTCTTTGCAGCGAACCACGCCTTAGAGTTGACTGCCCTCCGTGTGCACTGAATGTGGAAACTGAAGTGTGAACTAAAGGCTATTGAAACTTTGGATAGAGCCAGAGACACTATGAATTTGAAATTTTTTAGTATAGTGGCATGAATGCTCAAATGTTACAAATAAACAGGAAAACATTTTTAAATAACATTTTCGCATGCTGTGTGCCAGAATATTGCATGAGCATAATATAATATATATAATAAATAACAACATATTAACGCAGTTTAGTTCAGAAACTTTTTTGTTGGATTAAATTGAAATACATCGAACTATTAAGAAGGTTGCTCTTTTAATGATCTTTAAATTAAACGAGGTTCCAAATTTTAATAGTAATCCACGACAGAGTTTGACCGAGAGATTAAGAGACGAGTAGAGAATCACCCGAAAATTGTTAAACAGAAAAGAGATCAAAACAAATACTAATTTAAGAATTTTTTTGGCAATAAAGTCATTGAAAGTATGGAAATATAACTTTTAGTTTAATTTAGTTTTAAATGGTATTTGTTAGAGCAGCAATATATTGAAATGCGTTAAGACATAATGAATGACAGATAAATAAGACCCCATTCAAATTTGTTGGATATCTTTGCTGGCTTAGCGGGAATACGACTTTAAAATTGTACTATACTGTATATGTATAATTTAGAAAAGACTAATTAGAGTAATTCATGGCTCTGTCTGAAGAACCTAATAGGCTCCTGTAAAATATGGAGCCGTATATTTCTTTTAGTTTATTTCATTTACTATTTCATACACAGTATTTAATTTGACAAATCACCAGACTAACAGTGTTTTCCTATTTAATGCAGACAGATGGACTGAGATGGGCGTACAATTGCACCCGTAAACTGAATAATTGACAAACGCAATGGGACCATTTATCAGCTGGCAGCAAGACAAACGCATTAGTGACGTAACATAATAAGCCACACAGTGTCTACACACATTAGCAACATACATAGGAACACACTTGGCATGCTCTCGGTTGACTGCCAGCTGCAGATATCATAAAGCTCAAGGAGCACATGGCATTAGCACACGGAAAGTTGTTAAGTGCCACCCAGCAGCCAGGAGGACCAAAGGACCAAAAGACCATTGCAGAGGGCTTTGCGTTTTCGATGCGGCCACTTGCAAGCCCTGACGTATCAGGTCCACCCCTCCCCGCTACCTCGACGCAATCGATTAAGCGGGTTAAGTGCTGCATAAGCCGTCAGCAGGGCGGCTCCGTCTCTCTCTCTCTCTCTCTCTCTCTCTCTCTCTCTCTCTCTCTCTCTCTCTCTCTCACCCTCTATTTATCTTTCTCTCTTTCCCTCATAGTCTTTGTGTGAACACGAGCAAAGCACAACAGAGCTCCATATGTTTAGCAGCATGGGAGCTCTTTCGTGCCATGGGCTCAGCTCTGATTCGCAAAATGAATTTTGTATTTGTTTACCTATCACAATCTAGCAATTACATCTAAATCATCTTAAGAATTGACACTACAGGCGACATATGGCCTTCGGCTATGTGTGTGTGTCCTGAATGGAGTAGTTACATGCACATGTATCGCCTGCAGCCCAAATTTTCTTCGTCATTCATGCATGATAATTAGTATTAACATATTTTATAAGTTTTTATCTCGAAAGTTTTGGAAGAGGCAGGATATATCCGTTAAATCTTCTCGGGCTTTGGTTGCTAACGAAAATATAAACAAGTAAGAACGTTGCAGTCGGGCGCTACCGACTGCGGAATACTCATTCACAGTCC